GCTGAGGCAGGAGAATTGCCTGAACCCAAGAGGCGGAGGTTGCGGTGAGCCAAGATCGCGCCATTGCACTCCAGCCTGGGTAACAAGAGCGAAACTCCGTCTCAAAAAAAAAAAAAAAGGGGGGGACTTACAGTTTGCCCAAGGTCATACTGAGTAAGTAGAAGAGCCAGAAGTCAAATCTGGGTTAAAGATTGTCTTTTTCTCTCTACTCCACTAGTATTTTGCCTTTTTTCCTCATTTCCATTATATTTTTCCACCAGAAATATACTTTCCATCAGTATTCTTGGAAATAAAGTTTATAACTTGCTATGTGATAAGTGAGATATAGTAAGGAAATGTCTACCTCAAGCGACCAATTTTTTTTAAACCTACAATTTGGGGAATGAATATCCTAATGCAACTCAGAGGCTATTCAACTTAATATACTGTCAGGAGGCTTGAAGTAAAGATTCAGTTTTTCCAGCCTCTTGCAGATCCCCTTTTATCCCATTGTTCACTGTTCTTTTTTGTTTCTTCTTCTTCTTCTTCTTTTTGAAATGGAGTCTCACTCTGTCACATGGGCTGGAGTACAGTGGCGTTATCTTGGCTCACTGCAACCTCCACCTTGCAGGTTCAACTGATTCTCCTGCCTCAGCCTCCTGAGTAGCTGGGATTACAGGCCCCTGCCATCATGCCCAGCTAATTTTTGTATTTTTAGTAGAGACAGGGTTTCACCATGTTGGTCAGACCGGTCTCGAACTCCTGACCTCAAGTGATCCTCCCACCTCAGCCTCCCAAAGTGCTGGGATTGCAGGCATGAGCCACCACACCTAGCCATTTCTTTTTAATGAATTCAAAATTTTCCTGTTCCAACCACTAAGTCCCTAGAAAACTGGGATCATCCACTTTTTAAGTTCCACTTTGAACACGCAAGTTGTTGAAACTGCTGTTTGCAGTTATCTGACCTGTTTATTCATTTAATAATCTCTGGGATTTGCTCATAGAAATCACCACTCATCCTAGCATTTTTGGTGTTCAGTATCTCACTTGGTTTCCCTGAGTTGATTTTTCAATCTCTTCCTTTCATTCAAAATGTATTATGTTCTTGGTGTTCGCTACATTCTGATGATGCAGATGGACTTCCTCTCTCAATTGTTTGAGGACTGAATGGAGGGAGACATTACTTCATCTCCTTACTCCTATAAACCCTTGAACTAGGCCAAATAAACCTCAAAAAGGACTCTGTTCTTTTTAAAACTTTTATACACCTACGAAGTTCCAAGTCAAAAAAATATTTTGTGCATGTATGCATCAGAATCACCAGGGGGAGCTTTGGTTAAACATCAATTCTTGGACCTTGCCCTAAACTTAATGAGGATCCCTGTCTAAAGGGTAACTCTGTGATTCTATTCTGTATGGCTAATATTAAAAACTAAGTTCCTGGCCGGGCACGGTGGCTCATGCCTGTAATCCCAGCACTTTGGGAGGCCAAGGTGGGTGGATCACAAGGTCAGGAGATCGAGACTATCCTGGCTAACATGGTGAAACCCTGTCTCTGCTTAAAAAAAAAAAAAAAAATATATATATATATATATACAAACACACAAAAAAAAAATTAGCCAGGCGTGGTGGCACACGCCTGTAGTCCCAACTACTCGGGAGGCTGAGGCAGGAGAATTGCTTGAACCTGGGAGGCTGAGGTTGCACTGAGCCGAGATTGCACCACTGCACTCCAGCCTGGGTGACAGAGCAAGACTCCATCTCAAAAAGAAAAAAATTAAGTTCCTTGGTTGTCCTAGTTACATTTCAAATGCTCAATAGTCATATGTAGCTAGTGGCTACTGTATTAGAGAGGACATATATAGAATATTTCCATCACACACAGTGCTATTAGCATTAATCTAGAATACACACATACCTTGGAGATACTGCAGGTTTGTTCCAGACCACAATAATAAGTAAGTCACACAAATTTTTTTGTTTCCAGTGCATATAAAATATACGTTTGGCCGAGCGCGGTGGTGCACGCCTGTAATCCCAGCACTCTGGGATGCTGAGGCATGTGGATCACCTGAGGTCAGGAGTTTGAGACCAGCTTTCTCTGTAGCAATGCTGTTTGATAGCATTTTATCTAACCACAATAGAACTTGTTTCAGAATTGGAGCCAGTCCTCTCAAATCTTGCCACTGCCTTATGAGCTAAGTTTATGTAATATTTTTAAATCTTATGTTGTAGCAATCAATCTGAAAAAGAAAGCAATTACATTTACAATAGCTACAAAAAATGGAAAATACCTAAGAATAAATTTAAGCAAAGAAGTGAAAGATCTCTATGAGGAAATTTATAAAACACTAATGAAAGAAACTGAAGATAACACACACGAAAATGAAAAAGCCCTTGCTCATGGATTGAAACAGTTAATATTGTTAAAATGTCTATACTACCCAAATTGTACTAAAAAATTATAGTAACCAAAACACAATAGTACTGGCATGAAAACAGACACACAGACCAAAGGAACAGAATAAAGAACCCAGAAACAAGTCCATACACAGCCAACCCATTTTTGACAAAGATGCCCACAACATACACTGGGAAAGGACAGTTTCTCTAGTAAATGGTGCTGGGAGAATGATACCCATGTGCAGAAGAATGAAATTAGATCCTTATCTTTCACCA